ATCAGTTTTCCGAATTTGAAAAAAAAAATCCATAAAAGCTAACTATGTTTTTTATATCAAATCATGTTTCCGAACTTTCGGTGCGAAGAAAAAAATTGAGAGACATGCAATCGAAATTGGATATTTTATATCTCTAGTATTTCTTAATGGATTGCCTTGAAATTTGGTATATGAAGTAACGACCCAGTAGAACACATCTACTGAAAATATATATTTGTTTTGATTACCATAGTCCGAGATACAGAAAGTATAAAATCGCTAAACTATCACAATTGTCCTGCAGGTTCTTTTGGCCGCACGACACACTACCGTGTATCTTGATCACCATGCAAGTATGATCACCACAGCTGGAGTCCAGAATAAGAGTGCAAACCACTAGTTACAGAAACACACTTAAATAGTTTTAGATGAAAATTAAAACCCACTTTCAGATGTCAAATTATTTGTTATTGAATGCAGTTTGGAGCTGCTGCATCATATTCTTATCTATAGTCATCAACATAAAGGCTATTTAATACTCTTGGTAAGTTTTCAATGATGGTATTGACTTTAATGCAAAAAGTGTAACACTCAAGACAGTCTTTAGGTATTCCAAGTTAGGAGTGAAAATGGACAAGTAATCCACAACAATGAAGGTTCTGTAAAATACCAAATCTCAGTTAGTGTTGCAAGTTCTCTCGAGATTAAAAAAACATAAAAACAAGAAGTTTTCTGATAAATGTGTCTATAATATATGTTTCAAGTTAACTGAAGTGGTCCACAGTAGATCTTTCCCTACAAAAAACACACTGTATGTTGGAGAGGAGTTTATCTGATTCCAGGAACCAAACAAGCCTAACATTAACTAACCTCCCTAATTACTCACACAGACAGCTACTCAAAACAATGGGTCTGTACTTAGAAAGAGTCTTGGGATCTTCACCAAGTTTTAAAAATGGACGACAACAACCCAATAATATAAGTCCAGACATGTCTCCTTGAACCAGATCTAATTGAAAAAAAAGTGGTTAATATAGAGAAGTAGGAGAGAAATGGAACAGTATCTAATGATATACATCATCTGGTTTGATGGATGTACTGACAAACCTATGTAGAGCTATTTTATGTTTTATCAGAATAGACAGTATGTTATCAGTTAAAACATAATCTAACCAAAATGAAAGAGTACTTTTTTTGGCCTTGTCTTGATAGCCAAGATTCATAAGAATAGTCATAAACAGACGAAAAGAGTTTTAAGTTATAAGACCAGCATCAGTTCAGAAACTGTAATGAATTAGTCATTTTAGGTCGCAGCTTGTTAACGAATAAGCTCCTTTTGCTATGAAGGTTCATCATTTGCCCTTGTTAATATCTTAAAGTAATATGAATGGATGACTACAACATACTTACCTAGGGTATGCTCCAATAAACTTGGTTTATTTGGCATTTTTAAATTTCCAAGTGCTTTCACTTAAGTGAGCAGCTTTCTTGTATGGAATTTGTTCAGTCAGCAGGTAGATATGCTGGGTATTAGTAATTCCCTGTAAATCAGCCACTTCTTGGCCATGGGTTGAAAGATTGAAATGGGATCGAGTGAATATTTTCCACTTATCTTCCAAAACTCATCCTACGCAAACTTTGAACTGATGGTGGAGGAATTCTAGAAGTAAACCTGATTCAAGATTCTTTTAGGTTTGACATTTGAACTGCTGGGTCATGGTTAGGACCACCCAAAATGTTATAAGATTAACAAGCGTAAGTCAACTGTGCAAGGAAGCCTCAGAGTTTTTTCATAGCCTGCTTTATTTCTAGCTGTCATGGATTCACCATGGATGAGGATTCTAAAGAAAACGAATCAAGGTTTTAGAGATATGAAAAGTTGCATGGACTATACGATTTTTCACTGTTTTTACCTAGTCATTAATAAATAGTAGGTAACAACGTCAGAATATAGTTCTGAGAGATCATTGTAAGAAAGCTTAGCCTTCTCTGGTTCCACTGTGGCACAGTAAGTTTGATGGCATCATCTGTCAGAACAATGGGAAAATTATTAATATCATATGGATCACCAGCCACCTTCAAAGAAAGGGAGAGAGAGAAGGTGAAAAATAAATACATCAGTGTCATTAGAAACCTTATTTGGTACACTTAAATATTTGAGATACCTAGTATTAATCAGAAAGAGTCTATGATCAAAGAGCAAATGTTCCACAGGTCTAGCTCTCCCATCTATAATGCCACCTCCCAAGTCTTTGAAAATGATTAAAAGAAGGATGACAGCTGCTCAACAGGGTCATCAAGGTCTGTTTCAATTATTTATTATCCTGGCAAAATGTAAGGAGAGCATAGTATGATATATATCTAATGAAAACATGGGTGAAAACAGCATTCAGTGGCATATTGAGTGGGATATACATGTAGGAAGTACATGTTCAAACCTCATGCTCTTCATCAACACATTTGTCTCCAACCTTTCTTTTCTATTAAGAAAACTGTTTGATGGTAATGATATCTGCAGGATTCAAAAATGCATTTTGTAAAGAAAGTTAAAGAAAGTGGTAAGAATCAATTAAACTATTTATTTCATCTGTATTAGCGCAAAAACCTTGATAGTTTCTTGGCATAAATGTAATCATTTCCATCAAGAATTCTAAGAAGATCAAAGTAAGAAATTTTTGTGTGGATTTAAATTACAATTGTCTTTCTTTGATTTCTGTATGACAAGTCTTTAAACCTCTAGCATCACTAACAGGTGTCTTGAATTCCACTGAGAAAAGGTAAGACTGACGATTTTACACTTTAGGGCCAAAGGAATTTATTCTTATAGCTCAGTAGTGCCACTGTTAGGAACAGAACTAGGGTTGGATGTTGATTTATCTGTCTGTTTGTCTATAGATAAGAACAGAACACTGATATAGTTGGCGATAGACTTTGTATGCAGAAAAGATACATCTGTCTGCACTCTGATTGTAGCGACGAAACAGAGTACAACAACATATTTGGCTTTGTAAGAGGTGTCGTCATTTTTCTTGCCACAGGATATAAAATATTGAAGTTTTTATTCTCAACTTCTTCCTCCTTAGAATTTATTTCTTGACCCTTTGTCATGTTATGCTTGATACATAGATGCAATACATAGATTCAAATTTGTTTTCAAATACAAATTTACTGACAGAATTGGAGCTTCAATTTCCATAGCTAATATAATGCAAAACCGAATAGCAATAACTTGTATAAGTTAAAACAATGTGAATGAAAATATAAACTTATCTATAAACAGGCCAACATTGTAGTGGCTTCCAAAACAGTAAATACAAATTACTTGGATCATCTTAAAGTTTAAAAATATATATAATGTTTGCTTGTTGCTAGTAGGTGGAAGAGGGTCTCTCGATGTTGGATAATAGTAGAAATACATAACCTTGGGGTATGCATGTATACCATCTGTTTTCTACTTCCTTGTTCTCATACAGAATGTTTCAAAATTTTCTGTTTATTCAGATGTATACGGTTTTCACATAGAATGTTGATCAAGAAATTTAATTTTATTGTAACTACCTATTGTTCTGTGTCATTCACCTATGACATCACCTTTGTCTTCCCAAGGGAAAGGATTTTACAAAGGTGTACATACTATATGTGAAAGAAGACAACAATGTTTTTCAGGTGATGTGGCAAGGCTATAGCCTCCTTCATGTTCAACAGGAATGACAAACAGTCATGAGGGTAGTGTAAGCACCCAGGGTGAATATAGCATTGTTGTTTTGTATATATAATACTATGTTTTCTTAGATTGGGGAATATTTAAAGATGGATTGAGATAAAAGTTTTTGAACAAAAACAAATGCCCCCAGTGGCACAGCGGTATGTCTGCGGACTTACAACGCTAGAAACCGGGTTTCGATACCCGTGGTGGGCAGAGCACAGATATCCCTTTGTGTATCTTTGTGCTTAACTACAAACAACAACAAGAAAAACAACTTAATAGCACCCTTCATTAAAGGCGCTGTCCTCTATCCAAACATACACATCTCATTGTATTCTATATTTGTGAGTCTAGTCTCTTTCTTCCTCGAACTCAGTCAGGTTCAGAGAACTCGGACTTACTTTACAATATATTTCCTGTCAGAACCTCTTATTATTCTGTGGATCCTATATTTTCATCTGAAGTGGAAGTCAGATTACTTGAGAACACCATAACTTTATTCAAGTCTAGAGAAATGAAGACTGCTAGATCAAAGTAAATTTCATACGAGTAGGTGCAAGATTAATAAAATTAAAATTTTATCATTAGTACTTTGCTGATTGTGTATTTAGTCACTTATTGCATCAATACTGATATAAATATGTTTAAAAGTTATTCTTATTTTGATATATTAATGATGTGGATTTTAGTTATTATAGCCAGATGAGAGAATGTAAAGATGTATCATTAAAGCCATTAATAATAGAAATCAGACACACAGATAGCCAATTGTTGCCGTTATAAATAGATTACAGTCATTGATTAAATTCCAAACTTTGCTTCCAGAAGTGCATGGGCAGTGTGAACCCGGGTTTGCTGACACGTGCTTCACGGCAGTCCAGCATGACCTAGACACCATCTTAGATGCCAGTAATAATAATTTTCTTAACACTTCAGATGCTGCTCTTGAAGATCTTTGTTTGTAAGTATATGTTAATCTTTATCTAGTTGTTATAGAGATGTTCAGAAAGATTATTGTCTGGTACAGTAGGGCCCGGCATGGCTAGGTGGTTAATTGCACTCGACTCGCAATCTGGAGGGTCGCGGGTTCGAAACCCCATCCCACTAAACCTGCTCGCCCTTTCAGTCGAGGGGCGTTATAAAGTGACGGTCAATCCCATTATTCGTTGGTAAAAGAGTAGCCCAAGAGTTGGCGGTGGGTGGTAATGACTAGTTGCCTTCCCTCTAGTCTTACACTGCTAAATTATGAACGGCTAGCGCAGATAGCCCTCGTGTAGCTTTGCGCGAAATCCAAAACAAAACAAAATAAAGAAACATTGCATTGATAAAATTAAGTAAAAGCCCAAGGCTTCTAAGATGATGTAAAGTGCAGTTATGCAGATTTGGTGTTTAAATTATTAGAGTAAGATTCCTTTGATAATGAGGCTATCGCCTAATGCTTTTCTGTTTTCAAGTTTTAGATGTCACCCATATTATCATTTTCAATTCTAATTAAATATGTTTTTAAATAAAATTTCCAAAAAAGTAGGATGCGATAATATGATTATAAAATTCTTAAAAGAATGTTACCCCAACAGAACTTGGTTTCATGGAGAACCCTATAATCGTGAATGAATATTATGCACTGAAACTGCACATTTTATGATAACTGTTTAATCATGTGCACTAGAACTTACGATGCGCTTATGATCACCAACTATAGTTGCGCATAAAAACTGTACACCTTGACTATCAACGATTACCAATGTATGCTATTATAACCTATTATATTATTATGCATGCTATTATAACCACGGGTAATCTTATGAACTGAAACTGTGCATATGTTTTGTTACGAAAGTGGATAGTATTATTAACACACAGTCTAAATTTCGGAGATTGGGTAGATTACAGAATAGTGTCATGGTTTCCGGTATTCAAGTTAGAATTAAAGAAATGTACTCCGATAAAATACACATTTTACTGCTAAAAGAACTCGCCTCTCAATAGTTTCTGGCCACAAAGGTATGCACAAAATAGAAGAAGTGTTCATGTTCAGACGTGTACCGCACTAAGCTGCTTTAAAGCGGCAAGTAACCTTCGTAGCCTTCCTCGGCTATCTCTATCTCTATCGCAAACACTGTGGGGAAAACGGCTTTATAGAGCTGAAGAACCAGGTCTTGTATTGTCCAACATGTGCGGCCATTACTTTGTTTTGTGTGGGATTTTAGATTAAGTATGTGTTTTTTTCCCCTCATAGTCTGGAAACTAGTGGGCAATTCAGATTCCAGATACCGTAAGGAGTTCAAATCTCTATTCAGATTTTTATGTCAGAGAGTACTGGAAAGTTTGGTTCGGAAATCAAACCCACCAAACATGTTTCCCTGACTCCAGATTGGATGTTAAAATCTCTTATAGATACTAATAAACAATTAAATGACTTTTGCTTTTGCTCATTTATACTGTAGTTTACCAGGCAAAGTTTTCTTTATTAAAATGTACTGTATAATAAACAGTACGTAAGTAAGATATGTTATTAACTCTCGGAAGATGGAACTATACCAAATAAGCGATTAAAGCCCACTATCAGACGTCTTTGAATGTTGTTTTTTCTCACAATACAGCTTGATGTTCTAAATTTTGAAAATTTAAGAAATTCCAGTTTATGTTATAAAGGTTTAGATGTTAATAAATATAGGTGATAGAGCAAATCAAAAGGAAATTATGTGATGTTAATTTCTGTTAGTTTTGTGATTATAACCCTTAGATTATAAGAAACCAAAAACAGATTTTAGCTTTTAGATTATTATATAGATCTTTATCGTACAAGCATATGGAAACAAGTCCCATTTTTAAATAGAAGATGCAAATAAATATTGACCTATGATACAGAATACAATAACAACACAGAACAGAAACTACCAGTGCCTGTTATACGTTTATATGTCAATGTAATGAAGTTAGCCGTATCAAACCTAATGATCATTGACTATTTTGTGGGTTTCCAACGAAAGAAAAAAAATATGAATCAACTTGGGGTATCAGGACCATTTTGAAAGAGACCCGCAACAAATTGTACTCCAGCCGTAATAAGAAAATTGTGACGTCTTGTAACAGGTGAGAATCCGTGAACACAAATGTCAGTGTCAAATGCCATCCACGTGCCTCAGGTGACAGTACACAATATAATCAAAAAGTATCTCTGTGTGTAAAAGCAGCATAAATCATGAGTACACACGTTACTTTCACAGTATATCAATTCAACCGCCGCATAACTTAAACAGCTGAAGGATGAAACGGGTATTCATGATATTCCATACGAAGACATCCCAGTCAAGTCATTGGATGTCTGTGCGATCAGAGTATTGAAAGCGGTAATGGGAAACCATCGTTCTCCTACAATAAATAAGATTACGAAAAGCAGCAGAAAAGAGATGTGGGGCTTACGACGGAGCTTTTTGCGACGCAAACACTGCAGAGCTATTGTCAAGAATCACAGTCATCAAATATAGCAAATCCAGGTGTGGCGACATGGACTATAATGACATGGTGATGTTCCAAAATCATTGTATTATATAGTATTCAGCTTGTACAATTTCTGAGGAAGCAGACTGTGAGAATTTTGTCACAATGGAAACTTTAGTTGTTTTTTTGTGGAACCTGAATGAAAAAACATACATTAAGGTTGCAAAACAAAGGGATTGCTGACAATTCAGTGTTATGCAGCCAAATATATCCTTCATTAGCAGTTTAATTTTAATTTTACGGAAAAACCTACCATAAAAATTCGTCCAATAGCTAAAGTTTACTATCTATTTAGTATTAACTGTCAATTACATTAATAAATAATTAGGACGTGTGATGATACTTTATTCTAATAAGATCATTCATGTTTGATTTGGTGTTTATATTGTTAAGCTTGTTTTTATTTATTTTTCATTACGAACATATTCAGATTTATTTTTAATATTATTCACATATGTGACTATACAGGTGTTAATAGCAAGTTTAAATAATCTATACTACTAGAAGAATGTATTATAGTCATGGTTGTTGATCTTGAAGACAAACTAGTCATGTTTCATGTTTAATTTCGACTATAACTGATTTTTGGTTGTCATACCTGTCGAAGTAATGTTACTGCCATCTGTTGTTAAGTTCCGAATATAGAAAAGTCGTTCGTTATTGTAAGAAATGGGGAAGTAATTTAAAATATTGTTATGAAAGAATATTTTGCCTCTTGGTGCAACTCGTACAATGAAGAAAAATGTAGTTCTTAAAATGCAACTTTATATTTCGGTACAATAACAACCGATTTGTTATTCTTTACACAGATCACTAGATGACAGCTTGTTATGTACTACTGATATAATTGATACTGACTGCTCTCTAGCTGAAGGAAGAGAATCGTTTGACTCTTGGACGAGGGCACTGCGTTCTGCCTACGATTCTGTGTGTGTGGGAAGTAATGACAGGTTGAGGGGTAAGCAGTCTCCTCTCAATTTATGTTATCATTTCCCCTATACGAAATGAAAAGTTATCCACGTTTTCTAAAACAAAAGCAATTTATATTACAATATTTTATCAGTAGGGAATTAAGAATAAACAATTCAATTTCAAAGCATTGTAAAGTTTTTACGCTATAGATTAGTAACTGGAATATCATTGTGAACAAATGTTATAATTAATGTTGTTTATATCAAGGCAGAACAAGTAATATGTAGTGTATTACTTTTTCCATAGATTTGCTTTCTAATATTCAGTGCTGGAATGTGAATACATTTATTGCTTGCACCACTGAAAAAGCTAATTTGAGTCATATCCGGGACCTATTACATACTTCTATAGACAAAGTCGAATGCAGGTAAGCATATTTATTCATTACTTTATGTGTTTATTTAGCTTCTAAAATGCATGTTTGTTTGCAATGGCATGATACTAAGTCATGTGGTCAAACTCTGGGGAAGGAGAAGTCAAACAGCAGGATTCAAAGTTGTTGTTTTATAACAAGCTAAGTTAATGAAATTTGAGATAATCATCATCTATAGTCTATACTATTATTCTGCTTGTTTGTATGTACGACCATTACGCTTTCTGACCGAGAACCTACTGCATAAGCATACGAAGTTAGAATGTTTCCCCAAGAAAAATTGCGCATGCGCATTAGTCACTCGACGACAAACAGTCTGCCTGCAGCAGAGAGCTGCAAAGCT